AGAATTAATTTTAACCTGTATACTAGCAGCATAACCAAGTCTTTGATTGTATTTATGTAAGTACCAAAGTACCACCAACAAACTCAGAAATCCCATAATATATGAATGAAGTGTTTATACAAGACACTGTATAAATAGAAAAACAAACAGTGAGGATGAAACTTGATTACCAAACACAGGATTAATACTTGGTGTTTGGGAGTGTCCAGGATTGAAAGTTGAGTGGCTTTGGGTATTCTGGAAGGTGGCAGGACTGAAGACAACTCTGAAGAAGAACACTCAATGTTATAACTTTATCCTGCAGTTGTCATATGTTTATATATGTATGGATACCCCTTGTTTGACTTTCTTGACTCTTCAATAGAACAGAATACTTCATTATTATCTTCCCCCCCAATATTTACTAATCACATTTGTACAGCAACCCATTCTACCAAAAGAGATTCAGGGCAGCACACAACAGATAAAGCCCACAAATACAAAAATGACATAGATTTTAAAAAAATGTAAAAAAAGGATTTGCATTAAGCAAGAAGTACAGATAAAAAAGCAAATACAATAAATGTCCTCTCATTCCTAAAAAGAAAAAAAAATCAGACGTTTTAATCACTTTCCATCTGAAATAAAAGCAAGTTTGCTTCCTGATAAAAGGCCAGCACAGAACAAGCTAAGGCATGCATGAGAACATTGCAGTGGTTGAGCCTTGCTCCATGGAATGAGGTTTTAAAGTATGCCTATAACACAGAAAAAGCCATGTCTAAAGGTAGTTCATCAGGTGAAAGTTTTCATTTCTTTATATATCCAGAGAGAGAATTTTTCAATTTATATAAAATTATAGAAAAATAGAAAAAAGTCAAATAGAAAAAAGAAATAAGTAAAAAAAGAAAACATACAACTATGCCTTCTGTTTTCTATCAAGTAATTGTCATCTTTAATTTTCCTCCGTCCTCTTCCTTCTTTTTTAATCCCTGAGTTCTAAAATCATGAATTCAATCTTTTTTTACTTTCAGAAAAAAGTCCACATAAGATTTGTAATCTTCCATTACTTTGCTATTTTTTCTCTGACTGGTGAACATTTCCATTTCTGCTCTAGCTGTTGTCCATCATACTCCATATGCTATGAAATCATTTTCATACTGCACTGAAGAGATGGAAGATGAAGAAATGTAATATGTAAAATGTAAATCCTTTGGAAAGCATACTAAAAATAACCTTTGAGCATTGTACTTTGCCCTGAGGGCAAGATGTATCACAGAAGTTTGTTGACTTAATATATAACTTCAATGATCTATGTTTCTAGTTTTGACACTTTTACAAATTTAGAAATTGTGATAAAAAATATTCTACCAGACAATCAGAATAACTGAACTGAATTCATGAATGAGGCAGCAAGGTCTCTGTCTCTGTAAATGTTCATATGGTTTCTAATCTCTCTCTCTCTCTCTCTCTCT